GCTTCCCGGAGGTGGCATTTGAACCAAGCTCTGATGGAACTCCTTTAAGAAAGATACAGAATACTTTCAAAACCAATGATTTAAAAATTTGTTCATCCTTCTAATCACTTAGCCTCACTCCTCAGGTCCCTTTTCCATCTCTGCATGCCATCATTCACCCCATCCTGACATTCGCTCTCCACCACAGAATTGGGGTAAAGGGGTTCACATGAGCTCCTTTTCACATTAGCTATCAGGAGGGGACAAGAGGCCAAGTCCCCAACTATTCATGGTATATCGAAAAAGGAAAGCAAAACACTAGCCCTGTAGTTTCAGTTGTTCCCCCAATATTGTGTGTCACTGGGTGGCCTTGGTTTCATCTGGCAAGGGTTTGTTTCTGTCGCTTTTCACATGCTTTGGGTCTACACTCATCTTGGCACTGAGATATCCCTCCAGCCTTGCAGAGGATGCCTGGAACTGGACATCAGAATAAGCCAAGGAGTACAAAGAAATGCCTCAGTAATTTGTATGTTATTTTGTTCTTTGTATCAAGAATGAGTTAGGTGAGAGAATTCATTCATCTTTTACTACACTAAGAGGTGACAGAGGCAATTTTTCTCATAGTATTCAGGGCTAAAGTACATTGTCTTCTGGACTTCCCTGTGACATTTAACTGAAACTAAAACACACACACATCTTCCTTTTGAGAAGATCACCCCCTGAAATAAAAAAAAAAAAAGTAATAGTTCACTGGAAGATGCAAAAACTCAATTTCACATGGCATTTTGAAAGGTGTGTATGTACGCATGTGTATTTTAGGATCTTTTAGTTGCAAGATACAGCCCAACTTAAGGTGGCTTAAGCAAAATGGAGGTTTTAGTTGTTCATATAACAGGAAAGTCCAGGGTAGTTGGTCTTCAGTCATGGCTGTAGCCAGATGCTCAGATTTATGCAATGAATTCTTATCCTGCTCCATCACTCAGCTCTGCTCTGCTTGTCGGACAAGCTCTCCCCACCAGCACCTTCACGCTTAATCCTGTCAGCATAACAACTATGATGTAAGTGTGCTTCTTCCCCAGTAGTCCTTGTTAATGTCCCAGGCTGTGTCTCAAAAGTGTAAACTGGGTTTTGTGTCCATCCCTACACCGCTGTTGCTGATGGATGGAACAGACCTTGACCACACCCTCCTGAAGCAGGCTGGGAGGCAACCCCCAACCAAACTACAGGGACTAAAATTTGGTGGGGGGTAGGATTGATTCTGCAAAGAAAAATTAGATGATATTACCAGAAAGGAAACTGGTCAAAAACAAGAGATTCCCATTCCAGTGGAATGCCTACTTCGTGGTGACATACGTAAAAGAAAGAAAAAGAAAAGGAGATGCCAAGGTGCCGGCAAAGAGCAATGGGCAGGGCTCTGCTGGTGAATTGGGGTTGGCAGGCCTGATTTTCAAACCAGTGGCACTATTGGTAAAAACAATATCTCAAGACTCTAGACATTTCTTTTTTAATTTCATCTGAGTGTCCAATAATTGCTGATGTTCACAGATGTCACTGTCAAGCAGGGTTGCTGGTCGACCATGAGCAGCAGGCTGTAAGCAGGCAGCTATCCATCAAGACTGAAGGGAAGAGGTTCGAAAGCCAAGGCAGAGAGAAGTCAGGATCTTGGCCTGTGTCCTGCACCATGGAGGAAGGAGGGAAGGGGGAGAAACCTTGGCAATTTGTTTTTAATATTTTTCTTGTTCTGGATACCATGAAAACTGCATACATTGGCTTCTGACTAATGAAAACAGAGAGGAAGCCAGGCTGGAAACCTGGCCGTGTTTCTGTGCACAATTAGGTTTGTTTGTTTAGGTTTCTTTTTATTTGTTTACAGATGACTCAGATAGGAATACTGCAGGCCTTTCAAAGCAAAGTGTTCTTATGTGTATTTTGGGTCTAGGGCTTCACCAGAGTGCAGAAAGCCTTGGCTCCCTGAGGCTATTTTCCTATCCAAGCGTTTTTCAAACTTTCAAGTGGAGCTGGAGGAATGCCGATATGAGCCAGGTTATTTTTCTTAGCAGACCCCAGTTTAGGATTTCAGGGGGTCAGGTATCACAAACATATAAACACAAAAGTCCCCAGACAGCACACAGGGCACCCGTTGTGCTGGTCTCTGGCACTGCCTCCCCTTGATGGCTTTACCATCTGTGCATGTCAGTCCTCTCTGGAAACCTTTTCCTGAAGCAGCCTCCGTCTCTCCAGACAACCAAGTCCAGAGATGGACTTACCCTTCCAATCTTTCTGTGTCTGTCTATAAGCCATTCAGCTCTCAAGACTCCTCTTTCATGCTGCAGTTTGGAGTCTGAAGCCTCCTGGGAAATGCAGAAATATGTACAATCTGGGAACCTGCCAAGCCCCTGGCTGAGCTCCTCTGCCTATGGGGAGAGATGTTCATGGAGATGGCTTGTTCCTGGCTAGGTGACCCCAAGTCCAGGGCATTGGAAAGGCCTTGGGAGGGGCTGAGAAGAAGTCTCTCTCCTCCTAGATGAGCAAAATGCAAACCAAGCAATGGGGAGACCACTTGTCTTCCTTCTTGGAGGCTTATTTCCAGCAGCCCTGCCTCTGTGTGATGAGTCAGAGGACAGAGACAGCCTGAAGTAGTCCTGGTTGTTTTCAAATACTAAGGATTTATGTAGGCAGCAGGAGCAGGTTTCCTAAGCATCCTCGAACCTACTAGGTCCCAGCCTGAGTCTCTGACAGTCATCACTGCTCAGCTGCCAATGTTACATGCAGAACAGTCAACATGCCGGCTGGAGAAGCACTTCCATACTTGAGTCACTCCAGTGAAATTTCTGTTAACCAACACTTTGAGTTTTAATGCTCTTCTCCCTCTGAATGGTCTATAAACTCTTCCACTTTTAGGACTGTCATCTCCCAGTTTTTGAAGTTTGAAACCTCCTGAAACTTTTAGGTGAAATATTTACTCTATCAAAATTCACACATTTCTGAAATTTCTTTTTCAAACCACTGTCTTCCAGAACTATATGCTAGTGTCAATCAGAATTCTACCCAGTCTCCTGTACCTGCTATAGCTACACTGGTGGGCCCCGACTGGTAGTGACTATGCCAATGGCTCTGTGTCTTTGCAGGCCCTGAGTTGGAGACTGAGCAAAGGTTGATTCATCAGCAGGTGAGCCCAGGAAGCATGTGAGGGAAAGAGGAAGTGACTCTGGGCATCTGGAACTCAGTCCTGCTGGGGACCGTGTGAGAGGCTATGGGAGATATGCCCAGATGGACCCGCTGGTAGGCAAGGAAGCTGGCCCCCATTGGCAAGTTAACTCCCTGTGACTTCCAAGCACGCTCCTGCAGCCAGAGAATGTGCTCAGGCAGAGACACGAAGCCTTAGACCAGTGTGGAACAGGCAGGGTCACTTCCAGGGTCGGTTGAGGGGATATGGAAGGGGTACCATGTCTATATCATCTACTGTGACTTAAGATGACATAAGGAAGGACACAGTCATCAGCAAGAGGCTGGACGGTTTTCATTCAGCTATGCTTCTAAGGCGGGGGAGTGGGCTAATATTAATACCTATTAGTTGAAATGACAGGGCTGAGAAGCAAAAGGTTTTTGTTCAACTCTCAATTTGCTCTTCATCCATTTATTTAGCAAATATTTGCAGATTGCCTACTTGCTTCAGGCTCTGTGCTCAGTGTGGGGGTGCAGCAGGGAATGAGCCAGGCTCCGGCCTCTGTCTCAGGAGGCGACAGTCCACTGGGATGTAAAGAGTTCATAGCAAGGGAGTGTGACAGTATGGCTGCCTGGGAGCCATCTTCCTTCCCAAGGCTGGGGAAGAGTTTTGCAGAGAGCAAGAACAGAATGTGAGAGTGCCCCTGGCACCAGTGCAGGGGGAGGAGGGTCAGGGCCAGTCAGCAGCAGATGGCCTGATAAAGCTGGAGGCCAACACAGACCAGATCTATAGGACTTGGTCAGCCACACTTGTTCATGTTGCATGCCAGTGCAATGAGGAATGACTTGTTGTTATCACTATTATTGAACTAACTTACTTGTTTCATCGCCCCTTGAATCCCACCTCTTCTTTCTGAATTCAGTTTCCTGCTTCCTGAAGGTCACCTTTTAGTAGCTTTTCACTGATGTCTGTGATGGGGGACTCTCTCAGTCCAGGGTGGATGTGGTTTTGTTGGGGCCTAAGCTTATGCAGTTTTGCGCCCTCTTTAGGAAAAACAATTCAAACCTTGAAATACAAAATTAAGAATGAAAGTAAATATTGACAATGAGAAAAGAAACCACAGCAACATTTAGAGAGCAAATAAAACAAATATTACAAAATCTAGAAAATAACATTTTTAAACGGACTATAATTTTTTCCAACTTTTCTTCACATTGGTGGCATCAGAATGACCGTGGCCTTTTGGGGATGTGGCTGGGAGGAAGATGAGTCGCCCTACATTGACTTTGAGTTTCATGGGATATATTAGGTGGTTTGTAGTCATTTCCCTATATAGTTCAATTACTGCTGGGTGTGCAGATTTTGGAATGGCTTCTAGAAATTCTCCTACCATCCACATGCTGCCTTGCCTGGCACATAGTTCCAGAGACTGGGTGGAAATGCAAAAACTCCTATAATGCCCAATACCAAAATTATGTGTATGGTAGAGAAATAAGGTTCCAGATATATAGAGCCATCTATATTTTGTAGACTCTGAAAAATTCTTCTAATATCAGAAATGTAAAACTGTTCATTCTTATTTAATGCCTGGTCAAAATAGAAGGGTTTTTCAATCAAGAATATATTTGAGAATGCAGAACTCAGCACATACAATTATAAACACACTATATATTTACAGCTCGTATGTGAAAGAAATTTCTAGAGGTTTTCCGAAAGTTGACAACAATCCGAAATATTTATGTGCCTTTAAAAAGAAAGAGTTATAAAGCTGAAAGAAAAAAATCTAAAATAGAAAGCAAATTTGATTAACCATGACAGAGGGAAAACTGATTTTCTTTTTCTATTCTGTCTATAGAATGTGTTATTACAAAATCATCACATGAAGAAGTGATTAAAGAATATGTACCTAAAAATGGAATAAATCTAAATGCAATATAGTATCCTGGATTGGATTCCAGAAAAGACAAAGGACCTAAGTGGAAAAACTGGTGAAATTGGTGAGTAAACTGGTAGATATAATAACATGATTATTGATGATATAAAAATTCAAGGATGTCAGGATGCCATTGAAGAAAGCATTTGAATATTTGGATTTCCAAATATCAAAGCTAAAGTAGAAACTAAAAAGCAGATTTAAAGAGCAAATGTGGAGGTTCATGTTTCACTTTGTTCTGTCCCTTTGATACAACCCAGCCCCCTACCAGGAGGGCCCATTCATAGTCTAATGGTCACTGCCAGGGCTGCGGTTTGGCATCAACTCATGTGCTAATTACTCATGTGCTAACCTCTCTCTTTTCCAGTGCCCTCTTCATTTTTGACATGAGGACACTCATCTTCCTTACAAACTCTGTTATGTATTTGAATTTCTAGGTGTTTATACTGTGAGAGTCTCCAAGTTAGTTTAGCTCACCAAGTTGCCAGGCTGGGTTTCAGCAGGGGAGTGGCATGGTGAACTTGGTGACTTTGAAGGTAATTCTGGCTCCAGTGTAATGGACATGAGGTAAAGAGCAGAACAGAGACAGAAAGATCCAGTGAAATCCTATTGCTGTAATGTTGGCCATAGGCAGAGAAAGAGCAGCCTGAAAGACTAATAATAGTGAGAGGGAGAGAAGTGGAGGAATTGAGATACTTTAGAGGTCAGAGGAGCAGAACTTGGTGGTAGAGCGGCTTTGACCACAGAGGGAGGGGGAGAGGTCAAGGATGCGCGCAGTGTGAGATGAGGTGGTTGGGTGGGTTGTAAGAGGAGGAGGAGAGGAACCCCTGTGAGGAAAGATGAGGAGTTCAGTGTTGAGCATGCTAAGTTCTAGGTGCCTGTGTGGCATCCAAGGGGACATAGCCAGTTCAAAGTATGACATACAGGTTGGGAAAGAGATCTGACCCACTAGGCATGTGGATGTGGGACCTGCAGTGGACTTTCACTCTATGTAGGGCTTAGGATGGAACCTGGCACATGGACTGTGAGGATGAGCTGTTACTAATGGTCACTGTGGTAGAGGAGGCTGGCATCAATCACATTAGGCAATGCAGAAATGCAACTCTGCTGAGCTGATGGAGAAAAACAGGATTTTAGTAAACCTATAACGGGAACTCTGACACAATCAGGAGAGTTGAGGAGGGCTTCTTGGAAAAAGCAACACTTGAATGATCTGAAGGATGATTAGAAGGAATTTGACAACAAGAGGAAGGAAGAACATTCTAAGCTGAGGGAACAGCATGCCCAAAGCTCTGTGGAGAAGGGATTGTGGACAAACATAAGAAGTTAAACTGTTACTACGGCTGAAGAAGAACAGAGGAGCCTGTGCCTTGGGAAAGACATGTTGTCTCTCTGAGAAAATAGACTACACAGTTAACAAGTCCTCCCTTTAAGTCTCAAATTCTAGAGTTCTGTGATCTTTTTAACTTCACAATTTGGTAAAAGAACCCTATAGAAAAGTTGCAATAAAACAGTGAACTACCATAAATCTTCACTAGGATTCACCAGTTGTTAAAATTTTCCACATTTACTTTCTCTGTCATCTACCTACCTATTAATCAATATACTATATATACATATATAATATCTATATCTGACTATGACACCTATGATTAGTGTTGTAGAACCTTTTAAGAGTAAATTATAGACATCATGATCTTCATCCATAAACATTACAGCATGTATCTCCTAAGAAAAAGAATATTCGCTTACATGACTATGGTATAGTGATCAAATCTGGGGATAGGTTTGTGAACCAGAGTTCTGTGACTTCTTTAAATATAGAGTGGATTCAATAGCAAACCTGTACTGAGCACCTACCGTGTTCCTGGTGTTGTCCTCTGCACTGAATATTCAGACTGGCATGATCCTAATCAACAGGCAGATATTTCCACTGACATGCAGAGAAAGCAATGGCAGACATAATCAGGTGTTCCAGGGGGATTTACAGGAAGGAAATCTGAGCAGAAACATCTAGTTGTCTATCCTATATCCATTCTTCCCTTCTTTTTCACTAACTGAACCTCAGTAATATTGGGGTTACTAATGTACCCAACTCAAAAAATGCATTTTCTGATTTCTCTTTTGAGAAACCAAAGATATATAAGCAGAAGTCATTGATTGAAACTTCTGGGCAAGCTTATTAAATCAGCCAAAAAAGATGGAAGGCATATGCTTTAGCCCTTGACCCTTCCTCCTTCCTGGTGCTAGGAATGTCCTGTGGTAGCCAGAGCTTCAGTAGCCATCTTGAGGCCATGAAGTGATCTTAAAGATGGAACCCAATGTTAGGAATGGTGGAAAGATAAACGGATCCTGTGTCATTGGTGATAAAGTAGAGCCACCATACCAACTCTGAACTGTCTACTCCAAACTCTTTCAGAGGGAAGAATTAGCTGTTTTATTTAATCACCATGAATTGGGGTGTCTGTTATATGTTGTTGAATCTAGTCCTAACTGATATATCACCAAATCCAGTTGGGGATCTAGGGACAATTCCCTGCGGATTATGAAAGATCAGTGGGAAATAGTTTGGGTAAAAGGGTAGGAGGGGGCTCCAGAGTGTATTTAGCTGAATAGCAACAGAGGTCACTGAAAGGATTTGAGGAGAGTCTCAGTACTGAATTTTAGTTTTAGGAAGCAACAGAGTAGAAGTCATCTTGCTGATAGCTACACTGAAGGGAGGGGACACCTGAGGGCAGGGAAGTAAGAGAGATGATGTGACAATCTGTGCAAGGAATGCTGTGATCCTGAAACAATGCTGTACAAATGTTGAAAAACAAGGGCTCTGCTGTCAGCAAGACCTGGGGTCCCATCTGGGCTTTGCCACTTATTAGCTACATGACCCTGAGCAAACGACTTCTCAGTGCCTCAGTCCTTTCCTATTTTTGCAAGATTCTAAGTGAGGCCATGTGTGCACAGTGCTCAGAGCAGTACTGGCACACAGTAAGCACCCACTAAATTGTTATTGAATCTGTGGCAATGAGCTATAGACTCTAGGCAGTAAGTAAAATAATGAGACAGGGACTGTGGGCTTAGACAGAATAGGGGCGGGCTTCCAGAAAAAGCAAGGCAGGATATTTACAGTCAGAGCAGTGTCACTACATGCAAGGAAACCCCTCCCAAAACTCTGTGTTAAGCTCTAAAGTCATTCTTCAGTGAGATCAGTTAATATTCCCCAGAAAAAGAAGAGTAGCACATGTGTTTATTATGCTAATCATTTGTAATCATGTGTAAGATTCACTTTAGCTTGCTAAAAGGCCCAGGCCTATGTGCTGTCTTTCCTCCTTCAGATCTCATGAGGTAATTTTGCAAACTGGGCAACTAAATTAGCATGCAGACCCAGCTATAAACAACACAGTAAAAGGCAGGAAGGATTCCACCTTAAAGGTAAGATTGCATTTTAACACCCAGGAAGTTAAGAAGTAAGATTCTTACTCTTTAGCAAACAATACCTCAGCCCACCTTGGGGGCTGGGCAGGTAGCCTTGTTTGATATGCTCCCATACCAAGACGCTTGTATCTCCGAAAGAAATCATCAGAGCAGGAAGTTCCTTGTGTTAAGATAATTCTAAATATTCAGGGACTGCTTAACAAGTCCACACCCCTAAGCCTTTTTTTCAGGTTCCCAAAAATCCTCAATTGCCTATAAAACCCCAGACAATGCGCCATCACGGGCTCTCTTGTCCCCTCCTGACGTGAGCCAGGAGCTCTGTCCTCTCACTGTATCTCTCAATAAAAGCCTCTCCCTGGCTCTCCTACCTTGGGTGTTGGCGAAATTCATTCTTTGACTCCGCAAACAAGAATCCCGGCATTAATAACAAGGAATCAACAGAATGCTGAGGCCGGTTGGATGATAGGAGGGGAGAGTAAGAGCCAAAAATGTGTTAAGACAGTCTTCTAGATTTGTCTGGAAGAACCAGCTTGGGGAGAGACACAGTCAGGACCTGTAGAGCTGGTAGTAGTTCTTGCTGTCCGCCTCCAGATGACCAGTGTTGATGTACATGGGCAGTGGGGCAAGTATTTGGGCTGGAGACGGCCGGGGGTATACAGCTGAAGCCCCGGGGGAGGAAAGCCCAGCCCTCAGGTGAGTGTGGAATGCAGAGAGAAGGTCAAGAGGGAGCCCTGTGGTTGATGATGGTGGGCAAAAAGGAGTCAGCAGGGTAACTGACGAGGACTAAGTTCAAGGTCATAAGAAAAGTAGATTGAGTGTCCCAGGAGACTCAAAGGAGAGAAGCTATGCTGAACCAAACGTCAGTAGCACCAAATGATGCTGAGCCATCACATAAGGTCTGAGAAGTGGGCATTGGGTTGAGGGGTACAGAGGTCACTGGAGACCTCAGGGTTAACTAAGGGTCACCATGGCCATCCAACTCAGGGTGATGATGGGTCTGGAAGGCAGAGTGTGCTCAGTGGAAAGGGAAATAGTGTTACAGATCAGGGAGAAAGTCTGAGCGAAGGAGAGGAAGTTATACAGTTAATAAGGAGAAAGAAAAGGAAGGTAGAAAGAGACTAGGAAGGTAGGTGTGGGACTAACGTCCAGGAGAGGACCAAGAGCTGGGCCTCTGGCTTTGCCATGTGCCCAGAGCCTGGAAGGTGGTCCATGGTGGTGCTGGGAAGCCAGTGCCCAGTGGAGGTACACTGAAAAACGGGGAAAAATCTCCAGTCTGAGCTTCCGTGGACAGAGGAGGGCAGAGAGACAGTGGGGAAGAGGCGGCGAACAGTGAGGATCCCTGTCCCTGAGACGCACCCAGTGCCGGCCTGGTGCCAAGTCTCATCCCTGTTCACCAGGGAGCACCCGAGGCCCAGGCAGCCTGAGGACCGGCGGGCCCCAGTGGAGCAGGGGTGTTAGCCAGCCGTCTGGGCGGGCGCGCCCCCTTAACCACCAGGCCCCGCTGTGTGCGGGACAAGCCGGGGAACCGCTGGCGCAGACACGGGCGGACCCCCGGAGCCAGCGCGGACTAAGTGAATAAGAGCGCAGACACAGGAGGGCCAGGAGGAGCGCGGCCGGCCGCCCTCGCCCCAGGCCCGGGGTGCGGGCCGCGCGGCTCCCGGAGCATCAAGGGCCGCGGAGCGCCTCCCGGGAGGGGGCAGCAGCGCCCCGCGGAAAGCCGCCGCTCGGCTCCCAGGCGGGGCTGCGAGGAGCAAAGCCGGTTCCCGGGGAGCCCCGGGGCCCAGCCGGGGAAGCCCTGCCCGGCCCTGCTGTCTGTGCCCGCTCAACCGCCCCAGCGGGCGGAGGCCTGCAGCCCGCCCCCTGGGCCTCGAGGGCGGGGTCTCACTCGGGGCGGGGGGCCCTCCCCAAGCCCTGCATCTGCCCCTCTCCCCGGGTGCGTGCTCAGGGCTCGGTGACAGGATTGCTCCTGCCCTCTCCGCCCTTCTCTGTCCATGGAAGCTCAGACTGGAGGTTTTCCCCATAGTTTGTAGCTTACCCCCTCCCCTCCTCCCCAGGGCACTCTGGCTACCCAGCACCACCACGGGCCATTTTCCACACCCTGGGCACGCGGCAAAGTCCTCGGCCAGCTCCGGCTCCTCTTCTGGACGCCAAGCCCACACCTATCTTCCTATGCCTCTTTCTAGTTTCTTACTTTCCTTTCTTTTTTTGTCTCATTACCTGCCACTACTGCACAATTTCCTCCTGTCCTCACCCCCCGCCAGCGCCACCCCCTGCTCCCACCTCGGGAGCTGAGACCCCTCTTTTGGCTCAGGCTGCTCTCCACAAGGCCTCAGCCCTCAGCACGACATGAGTGGGGGGCCTGCAGCCTGCAGGGAGGCCGCCGCTCAGAGCCCACCATGTGAGAGCAGCCACGGGGCCTTCCCCCTCGCCGGGCCAGAAGAGTCCGGCTTAGGAACACCACTGATGTCCCAAGACCTCAGAGCAGCCAGGTTGCACAAATACAACTTACCACATTCCCGATGTGAAGGGAAAATAGAGTATCATTATTTCGCTCAGAACTAATCTGGTCTTTCTCCTCTGAGCCCCACCCACTAGTTAGTGGGATGGGGAGGATAAACTAAATGTCAATTCCAGTTAAGTTTGAGCTGATATTTTAAATCCTTCAGATACTGTTCAGTCTTTAGGAAAAATACTCCACATCTCTGATAGCCCCTGCTCCCTCAGCCTCCCACCCTAGAGCCACAGGTGGGTGGGGCCAGGGGGGCCTGCTCCCCTCAAGGCCCCCGGAGCAGCGGGTTCTTTGGCCCCACAAAGTCTCTTGTATATGTGCTATCCTCTGGTCTTTGAGGAGATGTCCTTTTTCTTGCCTGGGCTGTACTTGACCTCCTGGCGTCCAGTACTATAACCGTGGCCTGTTCTTCCAGACCAAGCAGTGCTCCTGGTGGCAGTTTGGTGTCCCTCAGCCTCAGCTGGGCCATGGCTCTCTCCAATGGCTCTCCAGTCTTAGCTGGAAAGTCTGCTCCTTAGACATGGCTGGGAGATCTCCTTGTATCAAAACAGCTCACCCTTTGTCGGGCCCATTGGCTCCCAACTTAGCATCTCACCCTGTAGAACTGGGGGTGGCCTACAGAAGCTGACCTGCAGACCTCCCCTAGGCTGACCCAGGGCTCCTTTTCTGTGGTTGGACCCTGAGTTCTAATGGGGCGGCCTGTGAAGTGGCTTCCTACCAGAGTACCGGAGCGACACTCACCTCTCTAACACCCTCCCTCTGCAGGCCCAGAGATGGGGACAGCAGGGCCATTCTGCTGTGTGGCTAATCTGAGTCTGCCCACTTCCTCCTCTTTTTAAAAAAATTTCTAAGGTACAGAAAAAGGGTGTGTTTTCTTTTACTTCTATTTCCTCCTTTCTGACACTTGTGATCCATAAATGACCGGCTTTGGTATGTACCTCTGAGCTTCAGGCTTAGTCTTAATAAACTAAGGGAGGAAGAAGAATAATTTGGAAAAATCCCTTCTCAAGATAATGGTCTGGTTCCTAAGGCTGGAATTTTCTGCATAATCCTATTATGAATGACCAAAACTGAATATTGCCTGGATTTCCTCTTGGAATTCCTTCTGTAACCTATATGAATCTGCACGGACATCCCCCACCCACGTCCTTCCCTTGTCCTCACCGCACACACACAGTCATGCCTCCTGCTGTAAGCACATGGATATCAAGGGTGAACCCCACAGTGGGAAACAAAGAGAAAAGCATATTAGTGCCTTAAAGTGGGATCCCCCCTCCCTCTCTTGCAATCTGAAGAACTCTGTTCTCATCAGTTCCAAATGACTTCACTTTTCTTTTTCTCTTGGTCTTCCGTAAATCCCCAGGTCTCAGTTCCTTCTCATTTTCTCAAAGGGCTTTGTCAGCAGCCTCTCTCCTCTGAGACACCAGGTGCAGACACGTTTGTTTCGTGCCTGCTGTTGTCACCCTGAAGCAACCCCCAGTTTCCCTGCAGCCTCACCTGCTGTCTTGTACCTTCAGACAAAGCCTACACCTTAGGCCAATTTACAGGTTTCCATTCATCTGATACCCAGGATGCCTTTTCTACCTCTGCGTCAGGCACGTGCTGTGCCTCCGCCTGACCTTTCCATCATCTAACCTTTTGCCACGGCTTATCTCAATATCACCTCCTGGGCAAAGCCTTGCCTGACTTTATTCAGTCAGTATGATTTCTCCTCCTTCCGAGGGCCTGAACTACTTTGAATCCCTCGTGTCCTGTCCTGTATTTCTGGCCTTGTTTGCATTTCTCTCCCAACTACACTGAGATCTCTGATGGCAGGGACTGTGTATCACTCAGCTGTGTATCTTCCATGGGGCTACAGGTTAAATTAAATTGCGTATGATGATGAACAGGAATAGCATAAGACCAAATCGTAATGTTGGTCTAAAGCATGTCTACTCACACAAATGATCTCATCTCTTTGGCCTCAGCTTCCTTATTTGTTAAACAACAAGTTGGTTTTCATGATGTCTTACATTGCCTCCATCTCTGATGCTCTGTAATTCTATCCATGCTATCTTATGACATGTGTGTATTGTGTGTGGTGGGGAGGCAGAGGTCACTAACTGGGGGTGCCAGGTGGAGTATTGAATGTCACAGGCCTTAAATTAAGACAAACCTTTGTCCAAATCCAAGCTGAAGCACTCATCCTTTGGGTGACCTTGAGCATGCTGTTTTCTCTGAGTTAACTGGAAAAGGAAGATATTTACTGAGTGCCTACTAAGTACACATGCTGGGTTTATAGCTGGGGATATGGAATATGACATGTCCTCTCCTTGTAGGAGGCCCAGAGTCCATTAGAAGAAAACAAGCCTGCAAACAAATGTAACCAAGTGTAGAAGTTCTCCACAGGAGGATGTCCAGGACAGTGGGGGCACCAAGGAGGAAGGAATAGATAAGCAGATTCCAGGCATGATTTAGCTGGACCAGGAAGGTGTTCTGGAAGACAAGAGACCAGAAGGGAGCATTCTGGAACTTTGGGTAGAGGGAGAGAAGCAAGTGGTGCCAGGTCTGCTACTGTCATCATGAGCCTTATTTGACCCAGATTAATAAGGCCTAGGAATCTTGGATTCTGAATGCATTTCCTGAGAGGTGGTCACAGCTCACATTTAGACCAATGACCCTGAACCTGGTGGCCTAACTCCAAGCCCCAGTCTCTTTCCTTGTGGCCAGTGAGACGTCTCTAGTACCTGAGGTGGCCTCTGACTCTCCTCAGGTACCTTTGCACAGCTAATCTTTCAGGGAAGAGCAGTGCTAGAGAAAAGGCAACTAGTTCCCTCAGAAGCAACCCTTCATCACACTGGAGCCAGGGACAGTGTTTTATGTACCAAATCCACAGGAGTTTCTACCAAGGGAGCGTCTGAAAAGCAGCACTAGCCAGAGGAAGCTGTTCCAGTGCTATCCCTTTTGACACTTGGCAGGATTAGCAAAGCACCTCTTCCTTTGGAGAGTGGGAAAGTTTCCAGCATCAGTCTGCTGGCAGAAAGGGAGGTTGAGCAAACAGGCATATTGTTTTCTCATAGCTGTCTCTCTTGTTAATATTTGGTCGGCCAGCCATGCATTTTTGGAGTGTTACATAGGCTTACATTCAGCCTTCATCAGAGAACAATTAGGACGAGTGCGGAGAGGCCAGCGGGTCAGGGACCAC